TAAGCCCTAAACCCTGAGCCGTAACCCTAAGGTAGAACACTTACTTATCAAGTTATAAGTGCTTAAAGGGGAGTGGGAGGGAATAAGGACCATCCTTCCGGGGGATGCACTAGCAACTCACTAAGCACCAGGAAGTAAAGCCCCGACTTTCGAATTCATACATGTAGGGTTCAGGGTTTAGGGTTTAAAAAGCAACCCCGACCAAAGGCAGCAAAGGCTCCACACACCCCGGACGCCATACCCAAAGGTAAAGGCAAGGGCATAGCCCGTCGGAAGCATGAGGGCATAGTAGCTCAGAAGGTAGACCACCTTACATCTTCAGGTTTAGGGTTTTGGGACGCTTCGGCCTTTCTGGAATTCCTTTTGAAAATTGTGTGTGGCTTAGGTGACCTGAGAGGATTGAGCCAGTCGTTTCTGAGGACTCTTGCAAGAATTGCACTGTGTGACTGAACCAATATCTTAGAAGCCTGAGAAGGGACCCCTACAATCTAGCCAGTAAAATCGAGAACCCTGCTATTCCACATCATGTGAATGTAGGGCAAACTAGCGCGGGAATGCTTGAATCCACCGTCCAAATCCGTAGATCCTACACCCCAACCCCCTTTTTCTTAAACCCTACGCCCTATCCCCTAAGCCCTAAACCAAAACCCTGCATCATCCTGCATCATCCTGCATCCTAAACCCTAAACCCTAAGCCCTAAACTCCAAACCCTCAATCCTAAATCCTAAACCTTAAACCCTGAAGTTAAACCCTCGACCCTAGGTCCTAAGCCCTAAGCCCTCAACCCTAAGCAGAGCAATCTTTGACGAGGAACGCTGCCGGCCGCCATCTTTCCCATGCCGCGCAGGGCCCCCGACATGATATGTTGCGTAGTGTCGGGGAGTCCTGCCTAGATGTGGGCGCGTTAAAGGGGTTTAGGGCTTAGGGGTTTAGGGTTTAGGTTGTATAGGATTCAGGGTTTAGGATTTGGGGTTAGGGTTAATAGGATTCAGGATTCAGGGTTTAAGTTTTCTAGGATTCAGGGTTGAAGAATTGGGTTTGATAAGATTCAGGGTTTAGGATTTAGGGTTAGGGTTTATGGGATTCAGGGTCTAGGGACATATGATCGTTTCCATAAACAAGTGGCCTCAAAATGGACCCAAAAATATTCAAATCCTTATTATGGGAAGTTCCAAGATGATACCCCTACTGTCGGGAAACACCCATGTGAGCTATGGTCTAAACCCCTTGTATCCCCCTGAATAACCTCTATACTAGTCCCCCAATACAATCTCCCATATAACCCGCTGTAAGGCGTTTAGACTATAGTCAATATCGCTGTAGGCTTTAGAGACAGGGAGATCCCAGATATATACATGTCTCTATGCATATGTATATATATATATACCAAACCCGAAAGCCCAAACACAAAAGGCAGTGGGGGTCCCAATGAAGTATCCTAAATGAAGTGAATCCTTGACTCAACTCCAAGGTTGGTTCCTGGGCCCACACTTCCTGTAAAGAGTCTATTCATGTCAGGTGTAATTTCAAAAGAGGACGCGACAAATGTCTGCATTTCCATGAGCATGACAAGCACCTGCAACTACGAGGAAATGAATGACAGGGAAGTGGCGATGTGGAAGCATGAAAAACAAGTACAAGCTGCGAAGGCGAAGATCACCAGCAGGCTCTGCATCAGCACAGACACCTGCCCCATCAACGCAGGCAGATCTGCATGCTAATCGCATGAGCTTTCTTGCTCTTTTCTCGGGGTGAAGCTAGCCTTCTGGCAGTATGAGGTGCACCCGAGCTTTGCGACGGCTTTCAAAGCCTTGATGCTGAACCCTAAGTGCGCCCTCCGTCGGGCACGAAATGACAGTTCTGATCAAGTTGGAGGAAGATGCCAACAAGATGCGCATGCGTTGGGGACTGGGGGTCTTTTCAAAATGGTCATGTTATGATATGAGCTATACTCTAAACTCCTAGTATTACCCTTTATAAACCCTATAGTAGCACCCTATAGAGCCCCCTACATAACCCCTTCAAGGAGTTTAGACTATAGCTCATATGTTGCAGGGCCGAATTCTGAGCCATGCCTGGATCATGTACCAGCATGGGCTAGAAGTTCCAGAATGTCTCCTTACCATTTTGGAGGTTCTAGGGTTATATAGGGATAATGGAAAAACTATTTAGGGTTTAGGGTTTCCCACTATTACGGGTACCGTTTCGGAGGTCCCGATCTAAGAAGGAGTCTAATATCTTGGGATCTATATTGGGGCCTCCCTATCTAGGGAAACCACCATGTGAGCATCTCGGGCCGTGTGTGTGCTGGGTTTTATGCTTCACTACTAAATGCCCGTAGAAACACCCTGGAAGGAGCCTTCCCCAAAAGTTAGACACACCTTCTGAACAGGGTGAGGACCCCTCAAGCACCTTGTTACCGTCTAGCAAATGTCCAGTTACTGAATTTTCTTGGCTTTCCTGAACCTATTTGTCTGCAGGGCCATTGGGCTATACCCATCACTTCTGAACTTCTAAACCCAACCGCATCTTTTTAACAAATGGGCAGGGTGCATTTTACCTCAGGATCAGCTGCGAAATTAGCAGCCAAAACACCCCATGTTCTGGCTAGAAGAACAACAAGATCCTTGCGTATTCAATTCCCACAAGGGACCATTCAAAAGCCAACATCAAACACTCAATGGAACAGTCTTGGCCATCCAGTGCAATGAGGCTGATCACTCAGGCTACTCCTGGCCTCCAGGAAAACACAGGCAAGCATCAATCAGAACTTACTACTGAACACGCAGCTTACATCCTGAGCCCTCAGCCAAGCCCAATACTTATTGCACCCACCAAACCCTTCATGAAGAACCTTTTTTTCCCCCACCAAACCCTACACCCGGAGCTTAAGCAACCCGCAAGCCGCCTTTAATAACCTTGCTCGCGAAACGTTAAGTATAAGCTTCTTTCCCTAGGGTTTTAGGGCCCAAATACTTTGATATCAGAGGTATTTGGGCCCCAAAACCCTATTATTTGGACCCCTGGACCCTTAGGGCTTGATAGCTCCAAACCATATGAAGAAGTACAACACCCGTAAGCTCCTTTTGCGTGGCCCCTGAACAAAAATGTTAATCCTCTGGGGTATATAACAAGGGCCCCATTCCTACATTACATTACATGACGTTACAATACATTGCATAATATTACATTACATTACATGACATTACATTAGATTGCATTATAGCAGCATTACTTTATTGTCCCCGCGTGCTAAAGTTTACAACAAGGGGTTGGCCTCTCCCGGTCTGACGTACATAGATGCCACTGCATGGCGACCGAACCTCGAATCTGAGAAGGTTGAGGAAAGCCTGTAAGGGTTTAGGGTTTAGAGTTTAGGGTTTACGGTTAAGGGCTTGGGGTTTAGGGTTTAGGGAGGCCCTAAACCTTTCAGTGAGGGGAAAAGGATGCAAGGTTCAGCGTTGAGGATTTGCCGAGAGGCTTATGGTCCTCCCTATAAACGCACTTATGGCTACACGGGATACATGACTTTCATCTGAGCAGCGTTGTTTTGAGTGTTCCCTTGGTGGTTGAACCTATTGAGATTATGTTCTTCTTGTAACAAAGCGTACCAGGACGGAGGATGCGTTCCATCGCTGTAGGGGGTTGGCACAACAAAATCCTCTCAAGGTTGCTTTGAATCGAAAATTTCCATACAATGGAAATCCACAAGGCCACAGCGGCTTGGCGAGGGCTCGCTTTGGGATTCGAGTCTAGGCATTAGGGTGTAGGGGTTGTCAGTCAGGACTTCCAGGGGGCAGTCCGGCGGGCTCTGGATGTACATAGCTTAGTACTCCCTACACCCTCATAACCTTCCGAACAAGGATTCCACGGGATTTCAAGAGTCTGGATCATGGTGCAGTGCTTGGCTTGGTGTAACGTAGTGGCCTACTTAGTGGAGTAGGGGCATCCCTCAGTCAAGTCCCTTCTCAGGCTACAGGGATTAGGGTGTAGGTTTCATGGGCTTAGGGTTTAGGGTTTAGGGTTAGATAGGGTTCAGGGTTAGGATACTTGAAATGGAATTGGAAATAAGAGAACTAGAGCTTATAGAGATTGAAAGTAGGGGCCTGAACAGTGTTGATGAGGCTTGGGGCACATTATAGTTTGTGGGATCCTGTGTCAGAAGCTGTCACAGTACTATTGTGGCCTATCCACTCGAAACATTTCTCTAGTCTTCAGTAGCTTTGAATGCCTGAACACTAGATCCCTCCACCCAAAACCCAAATCCTGGCGCAGACTCCATGTCAAGTTCGATGCTGGATAAATGTTGAAAGTAATTGCATATTTGTCTTAGCAGGGAAGAGGGCAAAGGATCATGGGGACCACTATTGGGGTTGTAAATTTCACTGTGTCGGGATGCATTCATGCCCTATACTACGCGGCAGCTGTAGACCCTTAGAGTAAGCCGCGCTGCTAGTTATCAGATTAATTCATCTTTTGCAACACAGTCAATGTCCCCCCAGAAAAGCAATGGACATGGGTTCCGTATTGCAGACTATATTTAGGGACCGAAACTAAACTACCAGAAAAAAACTACGTCCACTGTTACAGGTCCCCTATAAGGCCAATACTGACAGTAGCTTTTATGTTCATTGCCTCCATGTCTTTGTCTTTGCATGCTATTGATCTTGTGACTTGCTGGACCATCCTCTCCAAAGTCTGAGTGCAACAGTGGTTTCCTCCACGTGGCCTTGACACTTCCTTTGAACTTGTTGCAGACCCTAAGTGTCCAAGGGCCCAAATGATAGGGTTTTGGGGCCCAAATACCATTAATATTAAAGTATCTGGGCCCTAAAACCCTATTATTTGGGTCCCTGGACCCTTAGGGAGAAGCATCATTGTCATGCAAGGCATTTGAAACGAAGTGAGAACCCACAAGTGCATCGCGCACGCAACCTACCCCTCCCCCTGCACATCTATCTAAATACCGAGCATATCCTTCGAGCTCCGAGTAGCCCCTGTAGGCAACATCTATGAATGTAAAGATTTTAGGGGCTCATTCTAGCATCAAAAACATACAGCCCCAGGGTATGGGGGCTTCTCAGTTATGCGGCATCCTCAATACTCCTTTTTGGTGAGTGGCCACACTCCAAGACCGATCGTAAGCCAGACGAAAAGGTTGCAGAAGATGCAGACTTTGACGTAGCGGCGAGCATCCGTGGGCCTGTCCACATGGATTTCGGGTTTGTAGGGTTTAGGGTTTAGGGTTTAGGGTATGGTAACCCTAAACCCTAAACCCTAGTAGGGGGACCCCCACATTGGTTTTAGGGATTAGGATGGCCCAGGATTGACGGATCAACCTTAAACTCATCTTTCCAGGTTTACGGTCCCTCTTAAGTAGATCGAATCTGGCTTTGGGCATATTATAGCAAGATCCCCATATACCCCGTCTTCTATCTACTTAAGGGGACTATATGTCATCTTTCCAGGCTTTGGGCAGCAGAGGAAGTGGAGTGAAATCTTGTGAGGCGGTCTATTACAACACCCGAAGATGCACAGGTAGGGTTTAGGTTTAGGGTTTAGAATTTAGGATTTAGGGTTCAGGATCTAGGGTTTAGGGTTTAGGGTTTAGGGCAAGAGTCTGACCTGCTCAGGCTGCAAACACGGCGGGAGAAAGCACAATTACTGTGAAACATGATTGTCTAAAGAGACGACTATAAGTTCTAGACCCAAAACCCTGAACCCTAAACTCTGAACCCTAAACCCTAAAGCCTAAACCCAATCCGCGTATGCACTTTGCGTGAAGGTCTTGCCCCAAACCAAAGACCAACCTTAACCCTGTTGGAGTCTACTCGGGTGAAAGTCTAAACTGACGAGCCGCTAGACACCACAAATGGACCGCACAGGACGCTACATTTGGTACTTTCCGTAAGTAGGCGGACCCCAACATACACTCAACATGAGAAACCCCCATTTGGCAGCAAACAGGTGTAGGGACTTGTTGATTGGTTTGATCTGGCCTCACACGTTTGTGAGTGAGCCTTCTTGGGAGAGGTGCAGGTTTTAGGAGGTTGGGGGTTTAGGAGGTTAGGGTTTAAGGTTACACAACCCAACCCATCCAAGTAGGATGTTTCCTGAAACTTCTTCATATCGCGAGAAACAGACACGCCATGAGTCTGAGCAAATCACATCTACTCCGGCAAATCTGGAACTGGGAGGTCTTATTCTCCATGCCCCGCAGAACGCACAAACTATGACGAGACTGTAGATGTCAGCCTACTTTCTGACGGCATGCCCCGCTTCCATGCGCCATTCTCAGTTCACTTCTAGGGCAGCTGGCCTGCAAATTCTTACCCGTTCTACAAAGCCCTCGCTAAATAGTCTCACGTTCACCCATGGTAAGCCTTGACCCTGCAAAACTAGTACCAGTTGCATACACATGGCCAGAAAGTAGGTCCCTTTCTTGTTAGGATCCAAAACCCTAAACCCTGCTAGGATCCTTTAGAACAACCCCGATTTAAGATCTTTCCCAAAATCGGGGTACCCTGAAGTCTCCAGGGACATAAGGGGATTGCAGGGAAGGTATCTGCACCCCACTTTACCGTTAAGGATCATCTAGAGAGTACGAGTAGGAAAATCCTCATATGGTACAACTGCCTGGGATCCCATTTTTAATTCCTGCGCTACTGAACTATATGGACAGAACCAGCCAACTTCGGCCACAAAAAGGGCTAGGCTGCAACTGTCGCGTGCAGTCACAAGTACGGTTTGTTACAAACGGGTCAATTGAATTCAATTCAAAGCCTGAAGAAAGGTCGCTCGGGGGCTGCTTCTATATGAACCACCCCTCATGAAGGCCTATATCTTAGGGATTGGGAGATTCGAGCTTAGAGGCTCAAAGCCCTGAGCCCAAAAGGCGCCTGTTGGCCCCAAGCATCTTTCCAATCAGAGCTGCTGCAGCCGAAGAAATGCCCATCGCTGGCATGAAGCTGAGGCCGATAAACCTAGGGGCTTAAACCTCATCGATTCTAAACCCTAAACCGCTGGGGCGGGGAATATGAAAGCTACTATTTAGAGTTTAGGGTTGGGAGTTTGAGGGGTCTGGATCCAAATTTCCAAGCCATGGACCCCTTGTATACAGACCCAATGAAGGGCCGAAGCTCGGAAGTTTGGATTGGGGCAGGGATGCAGGCCTCATGAGCCGCCCTTGAAGCTAGGTAGGCATATTCTAGGAACTTTAGGAGGGACCCCTAATAGGGACCCTTAATCCTATGACCATATATAACCCCTATATAGTCATTATATAAACCCTATATCCCTAGGTAGTCCCCATATTAACCCACATAAGCTACAAGGGTCTCTATTAGGGGTCCCTCCTAAAGTCCTTAGACATATTGCGGCAAACCAATGTGTCCCTAAGCCCTACACTCTAAACCCTGAAAAGTGGCTATAAAGGATGACGTTCATGATGTGTATTTAGGCCCTCCTGAAAGGAGCGTCACAAACCCAATCCCCCCGCAAGAGGTCGCAATGTGCCTAAACAGCTCCTAACCCTAAGCGTCAAAAGACCCAAATAATAGGGTTTTAGGGCCCAAATACCATTAATATGGTTGTATTTGAACCCTAAAACCCTATCATTTGGGCCCTTCGACACTTAGGGTAAGAGACTGCATATGAGCTATAGTCTAAAATCTTTCTGAATAACCCCTATAATACTCCCCAATATAATACCCTATGTAAGCCCCTTTAAGGAGTTTAGATTATGGCTCATACGCGCCCTGATAGTCCTTTTTTGGGGGGTTCGGTTTGTAGGCTTCTTTAGGACACGCTGCGGCCGGGTGGTACCTTGAGCGTCATGATGCCGTTTAGGGTTTATAGTCCCCCTTAAGTAGATAGAATATGGGGCGTATGGGGATCTTATTATGATACACCCAAAGCCATATTCTATCTACTTCAGGGGGACTATAGGAACCAGGGTTTGGGGTTATGTGGTTTTTGGCGACGCAATCCCTGCTTTGATCTATCTGGGTTGATGCTACGGAAGTTACTGTAAATCAATTTGACTTAGTAAAGAAAGCCAGTTATTTACTATTCATCAACCATACTGTAAATTAAATTACATTGATAAATAAGCCCCATCATTTACCATTTACCAATAATGATAGCTTAGCTTTAAATTCCTTAACAGCAACCCTGTTCCTGGCCGTTAGCAGGAATTGGCAGAACATGTGGAAGCTACAATTTCGGGGCTTACGTAATGGAAAGGAACATGTGCACCCTAAACCCTGAACCCTAAACCCTGTTGCAGATTATGCGCAGGCTACCATAGGGGTCCATGCCTCAACTCCTTACTAAGCACCAAATAAAACTTGGAGTGTCAGGGGGACACAGGTGGTAGGGTAATAGTGGAGATAGCTACTGGGGCTCAAACACTAAACCCTAAGAAGCTTGAAACAGTATAGGGGTTGCATGGGGTTATTAACCTACTTACTATGTCCCCCTGACCCTCCAAGAAGGAGTAGCGCGGAGGCGTCCAGGAGGTTAGGCATCGCAGTTTAGGGTTTAGGGTTCAGGGCTTAGGGTTCAGAATTTAGGGTTCAGGGTTTAGGGTTTAGGACTTAGCGCCTGAAAGCCCCAAGACCTAATCATTGCTCCCCAGAAATTTCTCCGTCGGATGGATACCAATCAACCCTGCATGACCCTACGTACCCTGGACCTTGGGAATTATGGTATGATGATATACTAGGTCATGCCGGATTTTAATATCAACAGCATGCAAAAATGGAGTATATCAAGCACAACGGGGGATGGAAGTGGTGCGAAATCGGGCAGGGGATACATGCGCAAGTTTCACCCAGCTGTCTTTTCCTTATGTACACCAGGCATGATGCAGATCTACACTCTACTCAAAGGACTCAAGAGGTGGGATTTTAGGGAGGAGGGGTATAAGAGACAATCCCCAATATAGTAGAGTATATACTAAGGATCATTTAACCCAACTACCTTCATTCCACCTTTTGAGCCCCCTGATCTACAGCTACACGAATGAAATCAACCAACAGCGGTACAGAAAGAAATCTGGACAATCCAAAAAAGGCCTGCCCCTAAGGGAACATGTCCCCTACATGAACCATAGTCTAAAGTCCTAACATCCCCCTTAAAAGCCCTTATAGTAGTCCCCTATCTATGATCCCTTATATACCCTATACCCCCCTTTAGGACTCTTGAGCTTGGTTCCTTCAGGTGGTTAGGGTTGAGTTTGAGTTTCAACAATCCCATGAAGACCTTACCAACACCGCATACACGCAGTCAAGCCCGTACTGCATATGTTCAGAACTGCAGGGCTTAAGAGGTCAACCCCCCCCGTAAGAATCGGTCAAAGCACTGATTCGCCGCGACGTGCGCCGCCAAGGGTACCGTGCCCAGGAAACCGACCAACAGGGCATTGATTTCCCAGAACCACCACCTGGGTTGATGGCTTAGGATGTGAGCGACGTGAGGGTTGTCGTGGCTTGAAGGCTTTCAGGTTAAGGATATCCAGCTGGGAGCCACTGTAGCATCCGCAATTTGAAATGTCTGGAAGGCAATCACGTGTTTAGCGTTGAATTGATGTTGCGTTATATTCTTGCTTCCTGTTGATAACCCCTATAATCCATATAGTAATCCTAGTTAACCCTAGTTATCCCCATTATCAATCTACTTACTAAGTTCCCCTGACCCTCCAAGCATAGGGCAAACTTGCCACTGAATCTTAAGAGCTTTTTGGAATTCATCACTGGAGCTTCTGCTTTCATACTGTAGCACCTGTTGGGAGAAAAGCTTAGAACTTGGCGCTCCACAGGCTATAGTCCTCCTGAAGGAGGTAGAATATGGGGTATATGTCAGGAGGACCCCCCACCCTGTAATAGTGCTATAATAGGAATATGAGAGGACCCTGATATAATCCTTACTATTCCTTATAGTCACTATTACTGGGTGGGGGGTCCACCTAAGGTATATGGGGATCTTATTCTAACTTACCCGAAGTCAGATTCCAGCTACTTAAGGCGGACTATACATGTTGATCTAGTTGAGCTGCCATGCAAAGCAGGGGCCCCCAAATGAGCTACAGTCTAAAATCCTTATAGGGATTATAGGGGATTCTATAGGGGAGTACTATAGAGGTTATTAAGGGGGATACTAACATTTTAGACTATAGCTCAAATGAGCATAGCGTCATCTCCAAAAATTCTGCCCTCACCGCACTAACAAGAAGCCGAACAAATTTGTGGCAAACCTAGGCCAGAACACCTGTACAGCAAGACATAGTTGATTCTGCTTTGGAGCTTCTCAAACAGTAGTCGGCATTTTGGGGGGGTCTATCTCGTGGGGTTCCCCTATTTCGGGAAACTGCCAATAGGTGTCCAAAAGCAGAGGTGAAAGCTCCCCTTTCCAGTTTCGTAGGCATCCCTTTAGAAACTCTTATATCTCAAAGAGAACCTGGCTGCTCGCTGCTCATCTGCAACACGCAGGGCAGCGCAACTTTGAGATACCTTACTTTTCCGGTTTTAGGGTTTAAGGGGTTTAAGGTTCCAATGCAAGCTGGACCGGAAAAAAAACACCCTAAACCCTAACCCGAAGCTTTGGCAAGGCTTGGGTCTCAGAAAAGGTTTGGGTTTAGGGTTTAGGGTTTGGGGGCTCGGGTTCAGGGTTTAGGATTTTGGAGCTTTAGGCTTAAAATTACCCAGAACATTACGGTAGAAACTTGCCTGATGGTCTCCTGAGATACTTCCCCCACTCCTGGAAGGTGCCCTTGCCAGGCAGAAAGACATCGCGCCGCGTCATGCCGAGCTTGGGTGCAATGCGCATCACCTAAGCTACAGTTGAGGGCTAAGAGTTTAGGGGAGAAGCTTCAAGAGTTTAGGGTTTAAGGCTTTAAGATTTGGGGTTAAGTAAATTAGGACTTCGGCCAATGGGTTCCTTATTAGGGACTAAATTAGGGACTATACTAAACTACAAGAGGGAACCCCATGTCCACTGTTCAAGAAAACCCCCAATACCCAAACCCAAAAGTATGTAAAATAATCGCCCTAAACCCCTAATAATAGCCCAAAAGGCCATTATTTTACATACTTTTGGGGCCCGGGTAGGGCTAATGGATATTGACAGAAGCTCACCTAACTTCCCGGGATGCAGTTTTCAAGTAAGGTCTGCATTTCTCAGCGGGCTGCGTAGAGACTGATGAGGACCCATTGCGTAGTCCAAGTCATAGCATTGGCATAGCCGGCGCCAGTATTACCCAGGCCAAGCTTAGCCACGAAGAGGGTGCACCACACCTTGGAGTGTGGTCACAGTCAACAACAGATGGGAGTTGTATGAGCCATGTAGGGATATCACGATTGTGGGACATGGGGGTTTTGTTTAGGACAAAAAAGCCAAGATGTTATGAGTTCTGACCTGGACAGTTTGCCTCTATTCCCTCCTGCTTGGAGCTGATTCTCGTAGGGTCTTAGTGCAGTTTAGGATTTTACGGCAACCTTGTGTCCTGGCCCCTACACATTAACAGATTGCAAAAGGATGAGTGGGTACCCTGAAGGAGTCTAGAGGCTTAGTTTTGAGAAACTATCAGATGCGATAACCCCGATGGCAAGACCAGAGTGATGCTACCATTGCACTTGCTGCGCATTTGCAGCGTGTATGAGTAGACATCGAATTCTGTCTCCCAAGATTGAAGCATGATACCACATGCAGCAATGTGGTGATGATGTTGATGACCAGCGGGGGCGTCGTGATGCACTGGTTCTGCAGGAACTTGGCCAGTGCCTGATAATCACTCGCTGCTCTTTGGCCCTAGTCGAACCATCAATACCACCATTCAGAGTGATACCAGCAACAGTCGCACAAGAGCTGGTATTGCTAGAAATACTAGTACCAGTACTAGTACAAGCACGAGTAGCAGTAGGAGAAGTAGTAGCAGCAGTACTAGTATTAGTAGCAGCAGTAGCAGCAGTAGCAGGGGCAGTGATGGTGGCAGCTGTTGCAGTTGCATTTATAATTGTAATTGTGGGTGTTGGTGCTGCTCCTTGTGTTGTGGTAGTTGGTGCTGTTGCGCTGGTGGTTCTGTTACTAGTTGATTTGAGGCTCCTTTTTGTATGCCCACCATACCCCAGTTGTGGAAGCTCTCGTTTTCTTTGGGCATAGGCAACGAGTGTTGTTGAATTCAAACAACAACCTTCAAAGCTGCCCCAACATGAGTCATATATATATATATACCCAACAGCCCCTATATAGCCCATTATAGTAGTTTCCAATTTATTTTCCATTATCCCAATATAGCCTCAATACACCCTGGTCCGAGGGTCCTTTAGTGTAGCACTTCCCTTAACGAATGCCTCTGCCTACTTCCAGCCATTCGTTCACAATCATGCGCCAGATAACAAAATGAGGAGGGTAGTGTCTCACAGCAAATGGAGTTTCTAGGTTTTGCGCCACCTGATTCGCCTGGCACAGTGTAAAAAAACACGCGTTGCACATCTTGAAGTTGCTGTCAAAGCAAAGCAAACCTGCACATGATTGCTAAGTCTACTCGAAGGTACAGCGGTACCATGGGGATTCATAATGGGGATGACCAGGGTTACTATATGGATATTAGGGGTCATGAAACTACTTACTAAGTCTCCCTGACCATGGTAGAAACTAAAGTTGAGCGTATGAGCCTCTGTTTGGGAGCTCAGATATCAAAGCCATGCAGCTACATAAGCTTTGCCCCAAAAAAGGCCTGGTATTCAAAAAGGGTACAAATGGTATGCCCTTCAATCCTAAAACCCTAAACCCTAACCCCCAACTCAAAAACTTGGTGTAATCATTTAAGCCCCGACCCTAAACCCTAAACCTTGTTGAAATCAAACTCACAAAAAGGCCTGGTATTGGAAGAGGCAGAATAGCGCGGGAGCCGTTGCCCGATTGTACGCTGCTGCCAACCTCACTCAATTTCAAGTTTACGGCTGTGGGCATTAGAAGTTTTTGGGTTTCGGTAGTTGAGCAACTTAGGGTATGCGGAGTTTAGGATCTTAGGAATTGAGGAATTTGGGGTTGAGGTAGGATTGTAGGAGCTTTTCAGTTTGGGGGGGTAAGAGTCTAGGAGTTTGGGCTTTGGGGATTTGGGAGTTTGGGGCTTTAAGAGAATAGGAGTTTACGACTGCAGGGTTTTCAGGAACTGTAGGGCTTAGCGACTCTGGGTGCTTGTGCCTCTAGGGTCGTCCTAAACCCTAAACTCTAACACCCCAGGAATTTTTGGGATCCTTTGAGAGAAGTCCTGTACGGACATTTGGCTGGAGCTGCTGGAAATTCCACGCCAAGCCTATGTCACAGCCCTCGCAGCCCTGGCAAACCTAGGTTTTAGGGTTTACCTAAACCCTCCAATGTAGTACTTTTTGGTAGGCCAAATAAGAGTCCTAACCAAAAAACCATACCAAACCCAAAAAGGAACTACACTGGAGGGTCCAGGTAAGGTTTAGAATGAAACCCTTACCTATCCAACCCCTGCCAACGCTACACCTTAAACTTCAAAACCCTCAGCCCTCGGTATCACCTCTCTTCAGGGTATGTAAAAGATCCCTAAACCCTAAGGGTCCAAGTACCCAATAAATCATATACTTCCCCAAAACCTGTATTATAATTACTATTACCCAAATCCCAAGTACCTAAATATTGGGTACTTGGGACCCTTACAGAAAGTAAGCCGAGAGACATCGAGACCTGCAAGGGGCCCATAGGCTGTGAAATTCGGAGTTTGAAGTTGAATAGGTTCAGGGTTCTCTCAGGGTCCAAGGACCCAATAATTAGTAATTAGGTCCCCCTTAAGGGGGGATATATAGGGATATAGGGGTATATAGGGTTTAGGATTTAGGGTTTAGGGTCCAAATACCCAATGATTGGGTACTTGGGATTATGGTGAAAGTAATTGTACTACAGGTTTTGGGAAAGTATATGATTATTGGGTACTTGGACCCTTAGGGGTTCAGTGTCTAGGATTTTCGTAGAGTTTGGGGTTTGGGGCTGGGAGTTAAGCAACAGAAGAATTTGCCACCCCACCCCACAAAAAAGAAGTGAACAACCTATCACTATACTATGACAACAAAACATCCTCATTTTATTTGGAATTGGGTTACGGAAACCTTGATTGCGGAGTGGGTCTACAAGGCTGCGCTAGCTGGCGAATTTAAGTTGTGAACTCCCCAGCGAATGGCAGGATTGGGGGCAAAGTGTGATGCAAAATCAATTTAATTACCTTGCAGTTTATACGTGACATTGCAGCACTACTGGCTGAACCAGAGGCTCTTGAACTAAACTTATGGCTTTCCAGAAGTCGGGTTTCTTGCTAGGACCATTAACTTGGAACTTTACTTACGGTCTTCATGCAGTTTCGGCATAACAAAACTTGAAAATTCTATTCACCTATCACCCAGGATTTTCAATGAGCAAATGGCAGAGCAACCTACCAGCTGGCATTCCAACGAGTTTGTTGCTCTGAAGGTCGACATAGACAGGGTGAGGTTCGAGTTGTAAAAGCAGAGGGTTTAGGATGTAGGGGTACAAGTAATTACCTCACCCCAATAATGCTTTAGGGTTTAAGGGTTTAGGGTCTAAGGTTTAGACCTCTCACCCCCCTAATATCACACGCCCCCGGCGTGGCGTACTAAACCTAAACCCTTACGCCCCAGGCCGTCAGGAATCTTTGACATTACCAGGTGGGGGTGCTTCTTACTGGGAGGAGGGCAGGCTCCCCACCGTAATAGCTTTTGTCGCCTAGCTGGCTTAGCTGGGGTTCCCTTCTACCACAAAAAACTGATGAGGATGAGTTATATCAAGTGCATATTGCTATATCTATTGCTGGTTAAACTAGGTGTATGTAAATAGCAACGATGCTACATTTCTATATATGCCGATAGCTATTGTGTTGAGTGATCATAAGGCATGTAGAACTATGGAGGCTCCTCCGCTAAAGTTCCCTCAGGCACGGACTGAGGTCGCAGCCCGCACAGATGCCGGGTGCAATGCATGAGCGTTTCTAGAAGGGGTGGCTTTGGGTTGCCCGAGCACGCCAAGAAAGGATCCCCAAAATACCATAACATGACTCTTGCAGGGTCATTCTTGGAGGCTTTGGGGCTACCCAAATGCGGCGCATCTCCCACAGTCCCGCACGAGCAGGAGAGCTTCCGGCAGCACAACTTCACACGACAATCCTTCCAGATCCCCCCTAGGTTCCCTCTTAATGAGGGTTTATTCGGAGATCGTTTGGGGAAAGTAGCGGAACCATCATTATCTCCCCACATTCCCGCGCGAGTTGGCTTGCCACAGTTCGCCTCAAGCTTGGGGAGAACTACAAGATCTACATTCGGTTTAGGGTTTAGGGTCTGGAGTTTAGGGTTTAGGGTTTGGGGTTTAAGGTTTGGGCTGTGGGGCGTCTCAGGGCTGAGTATCCATGCGCCGATGGCGC